TCTTTTGATAGAGTGTGTAAATGTTGTACCTCATGTAATAGCAGAGGCCGCCAACAGGATAAGAACGAGCAGGTCCACCTCCTCCAACTGTCTCCCACACTCCAAGCAAATTAACTATAAAATTGCCAGCAAAACGACTCGAGAGAACCTAATAATGAAATAAGCAAAACGAATTAATTAATAACACTATCATCTAGACTGCTTCATAACTTCATTAAGTGAAACCATGAATGAAAACTCAATAACAATAAAAGACCATTACAAGTGTATGCACAACATAATGTATGTCTACCTGAGACATAACATAGAGATTTGAGACTAAAGCAGACTGTAGGATAATGGGAATATTTGAAGTGTAGAATAATTTGATGGGATATGTCCCTTGCTGTCCACGATAGCGGGTGCTCTTCACCGGTAAATCAACACGGAAACCCTAACAAAGAGAGATACATGTAGTCACGTACATGTACATACACACGATAGAGTTAGGTATATGTATTACTTGGAAAAATATGACGACACCAAAGATTAAAATGGTAGCCAGTAGGTTGGTGAGGTTGGGGAGATTCTGACGATAAAAAGCTTCCCTCAGGCCGCGAGTCTTGTCCCCCCTGGTGGCTAGTAAATGAAACAGTGCAATGATAGCACCCTCAAACTCTGTACCACGTCCTACAAATGAACACAATTAAATAAATAAAGATTATATAATGGGGTGTATCAAACCGGTATTAATAGTTGAAGGGGAGAAGGACTTCCAAACGATGGTCTCGCAGACATTAGTAGCAATGAAGAGTGATATACCAGAGCCTAGTCCATATCCTTTCTGCAGCAACTCATCCAGTAGGAGTACAATCAGTCCAGCAGCCACCAACTGGAGTACAATGAGCATACAAATGCCAATGCCCATTTCAGAGGGGACACCATACATGCCTGTCATTACATACACAATGGCTTGTCCTGTAGTAATTATCATGCCAAATACTAAGAACCACAAGGAAGGTGAGAAAGAGAGAGAGAGAGAGGGAGGGAGAGAGAGAGAGGGGGGGATAGAGATGATAATACATGTAGAAAGGAACAGGTGTCTTTCCTTACATTTCTGAGCTCCATTAAACAGTGATCTGTCCTTTGGGGTGTCACCAACATCAATGATCTTTGCTCCAGCCAGCAGCTACAATTGATGATGAGGAAACACAATAACTCCATTATGTGCATAAACCACAAAATCAAATATAAACAGGATATGGAAACAAGATTTAAAATGATACAAATAAAAAAAGAGAACAAAACAAATTGTGTAGAACCTCAAAAAGCCACTCACTTGCATTATCATAGATGAGGTAACAATAGGTGATATGCCAAGTTCCATTAGTGTTCCTCTATTGGAGGCCATTATTACCCTCAGCCAGTAGAAAGGGTCAGCACTGTCAGAGGACATTATGCCAAAGAGAGGTATCTAATGTTACACATGTGTACTGTACATTATTACTGGGCTATAATAGTCTAACCTGACAACAAACAAGGAAGATAAACAACGTCACAGCCGTCCATAATACCTTTTCTTTGAATTGAATCTGTGACAATGGGAGGGTTGAAGATGATAAAGAAAGGCTTTTAAATTATATAATATACCTTTCTTTCAGGTTTGGAGACTTCTGGGACAATAACCAGAAACGGTTGTATATAATCAAGGATTTTGACTAAAGGGCAAGAAGGAAAATAAAGGTAGAAAAGAGAAGAAACTTACTTCCCATTGCCTTTTCGAATCACAAATTCAGTTCACAATGAAACGTCTAATAGGAAACGTGACAATATTTTCCGTATACTAGATACGGAAATTTGTATCACGTGACATGGATCGTTATTAATTAAATTCATTTAACTATTATAATATACATTTCATTTAACTATTATAAATAATAATTAAATAAAAAATAACTTAGCTTTGTATAAAAATAAATAAAATTCATTTATTTATAACAAGTGGGCCTCTGTTTTTTTCTGAAGGTGGTAATAAAGAAGGTATTGAATCGTTTTCACTTTCAGAAGTTATCTCAGAAACATCAACAGCTAATCTCTTATACCCCTCACGATAAAACAAGACCAATACCCTAATATGTATATTATATTAATAAGCATATTATTATAATAAATACAACAAAAGTTAGCCTTACAGTGCAAATAGCAATCCTCCAGTGGCTACCCATGACATTGCTTTAGCTCTCTCAGGATGCTTATCTGAAAATACTCCAGCTATGCCAACAATCTTTTTATTACAATAAAAGAAATGATAAGATCATCTTTAAAAAAAATAAGCATACCGAAAATAATAGGGTGCCAATGTTTATGGTAAGAGTAAGAAAACCACTGCTAGTACCTGTTAACAATAAATAGATAAATTTCAATGCCCATGTGGTTTGGCTGCTCAAAAACTGTGTAGCATGCAGCCACAGAACACACTCATTTCATAATAATTATACTATAGGTGTGATATGTACCTTCAGCTACAGGATAAGTGGCTTCAATCACTGCCTCGTAAAATATGGGCATTGCCGTGAATACAAGAACATCAGCCATGCAGAATGTGATGAATAAGTTGATTGTGTTTTGACTGCCATAGCCATATATTGAGAGAGAAAACCATAGGAAAAACCCACTAGCTATTAGCAGCAAGAGGCACAAAATGATCTTAAATCTTTTTTGAAACCTGTAAAGAAACAAATAAATAGATACAAGATTCATGTACTCTTGCCTGTCGGCAAAGAAACCGGCTATTTGGCCAAAAATTCCGGAAAGTACGGACATAGCGAATCCTAACCATGACGTGCTACTTATAAAACCGTGAAATGAATCAATAACAACATTCTCATTAAACCCGCCAATATTCTTATTGAGAATAATAGACAGTACTGACTGGAAGCTCCTGTAAAAAGTAATTATAGATCTGTATGCATCAAAATTGAAATACTTACAAAGGAATTCCCATACCAATTCCACCTCCAATGACCAACAGAATGTAGCCAGGATTACAAATCAGCTTTTTAAATGATAGAGCAAAGCTAGTTCGATCCTTTTCAGCAGATACTGAAGGAGGCGTTGGTGGTTTCGAAGGAAAATAAATAGTAAAAAGAGCAGCAACGAATACACCCAATTCAGCCATTACATATAACATTGTTCGAATGCCGTAATGTTTAGTGAGGAATGAGATCATTACGAAACCTACAGCCTGTCCAAAGGCCTGTGCACATACAGATATAGCTGTGGTAAGTGTCCTTTCCTTGGGCCTGAACCAGGCAGAGCTAACTATTGGCGGTAGTATCATTACTGGTAGTCCTACATACCCAATCAGTATATGTCCAATGTGCATTACCCATATCCAGTTGGAAGCCTCAGGGACAAACGGAATGAAGACACGAATAGTACAACCAATCGCTAAAATCCATGCAGCACTCACACCGACTATTTTGACACCAAACTTTTGCAAGAACCAAGTGAATGGGACAATTAGTACCACAAAGCACATGGGGCTATATGCTACATGGAAAAAATAATGTTTATTTACACATCATATTATGTTTGCACAGAGGTGGCCTGATATCTATGGCCACATTGTCATTGATAAACTCACCCGGCAAGAGCGTTATTTCAATGTCAGTCAGACCATAGGAGAGTTTTGCTTCCTTAACTATTGGACTAAATGTTATCCAGGCAATGTTCTGAAGGGCACATAGCAAGGAGAGAACTACAAGAACGTAATAGCGGCCTGCGTATGTTTTGTGCTCAAGTTGTTGCTCTTCCATTGCACAAATGAATATCCACTTCCCTTGAGCTGTCACGCCCAGTTTGCTTATAATTATCAACACAATCTTTGAGGCAAAAATTCTAAAACAATAAAAATTCTATAACACAATAAGTTCAATTGATAATTGCAACTCCAGTTTTCTTTGATAGAAAGTGTTTTTTGCTTTCACTTTGATTATCTTTCTCCTTGTCGTCAACTGTTAATCGCTTGTAGTCTTCAGAGTATAAGAAAACTAGCAGCCTATGCAAAATAATTATCAGCAATAGAAAGCAATTTTCAAATCAATAGGATTACAATGCAACAAGTGAAGCTCCAGTGGCTACCCAACTCATTGCTTTAGCCCTTTCAGGATACTTATCTGAAAAAACTCCAGCTATTCCAATAATCTGTAAAGAAAAATTAGATAAATTTTGTATTCAGTACATTATACTAAACTAACAGAAAATATCAAGGTTCCAATGTTGAGGGTCAATGTCAGTACTCCACTACTTGTTCCTAATCATAGTTATTATTGTAAATCATCACATGACATGAGTGATACTGATCATAAAATTATTCATTGTACCTTCAGCAATGGGATACGTCTGTTCAACCACTGCTTCATAGAAGATGGGAAATGATGTAGAGATCATTACATTACCAACACAAAAAGTAACAAATAGGTTTATCGAATTTTGACTACCATATCCATAAATTGACAGGGAGAACCATAAAAATGAGACAGTTGAAAGGAAAAGCAACAGACAAAGTAAAATTTTGAATTTACGCTGAAACCTGGGTAAGAGTCGGATTGGATAGATAAAATTAAAAAAGAACTTGCCTGTCTGCAAAGAACCCAACAAACTGACCCAAAATTGTAGAAAACACAGACATTGTAAATCCTAGCCATGACGTACTAGTTATAAAATCATTAAAAGAGTGAAGGTCAACTGTCTCGTCAAAATCACTCGTATTTTTATTAAGAATAATTGAGAGAACTGACTGGAAACCACTAATGAAAATATATTTTCATCTCAATTATAACAAATATAACTTACAATGCTATTCCAAGGCCAATCCCAGCTGCAGTGACTAATAATAGAAAACCTTTATTACGGAGCAGCTTGAAGAGGGATTCCTTGAAAGTGGTTCGATCCTTTTCAGCAGATATTGAAGGAGGTGTTGGTGGTTGTGAGGGAAAGTATATAGAGAAGAGGATAGCAACGGCTATACTCAATTCAGCCATTACATACAGCATTGTTCTAATCCCATACTGCAAAGTGAGGAATGAGATTAAAAGAAAGCCAACAGCACCTCCAAAAGATTGTGCACACACGCCAATAGCCGTACTAAATGTCCTCTCTTTAGGACTGAACCAAACTGAGCTGACTATTGGTGGCAGTATCATTGCTGGTAGCCCCACATAACCTATTAGTATGTGTCCAATGTGCATTAGCCATATCCAGTTGGAGGCCTCAGGGACGTATGGAACAAATACACGAATGGTAAAACCGATCGCTAAAAGCCAAGCAGCACTGATGCCAGCAATCCTGAGACCAAATTTTTGTACAAACCATGTAAAAGGAAAAGTTAATATGAGAAAGCATATTGGACTGTAGGCTGCAGGAAGGAAACAATCATAACAATGTGTTTGGTGATCTAATCATTTATCTATTGTTTCCTCACCTGGTAGAAGTGTTAATTCGATATCAGTCAGCCCGTACCACTCCTTGGCCTCAGCAGCTATTGGACTAAAAGTAAACCAACCGACATTTTGGAGCGCAGACATGAGTGACACAACAGTAAGGACATAGTATCGACCCTTGTATGTCTTGTGCTGTTGCTGTTCTCCTCGAGGCTCTCCTTCCATATTGTCTCTCAAGCTAAACACACCCACACAACAACACTATGCAGAGTAAAAACATTGAAAAAGGAAAAATTGATATTCATTAAATTAATTAATAGGCAGGTATTTATGGTTTTCTTCTTGCTTCCCTTTCTTGTCAACTTTTAATCTCCTGTGATCCTCAGAATAGAATACAACCAGTAGCCTATAATGAATTATGAAACACAGTTTTAATCTACATTTGACAAGGCTTTACAGTGCAAGGAATATAGCTCCAGTGGCTACCCAACTCATTGCTCTGGCTCTCTCTGGATGCTTATCTGAAAAAACTCCTGATATTCCAATGATCTAAAATAAAATAAAGGAATGAATGACCGGTCAATATAAATAACTAACAGCAAATATCAAAGTGCCAGTATGAAGGGCTAAAATTAATAATCCAGTGCTCGTTCCTGTGCTAATGTAATACTGTTATGTTAGCAATAAGCACTTATACCTTCAGCAATGGGATAGGTCTGTTCAACAACTGCTTCACAAAATATTGGAAACGCTGTAGTGAGCATTACATTACAGAAGCAGAAAATGACGAATAAGTTTATTGAATTCTTGCTCCCATATCCATACAATGATAGTGAAAACCATAAGAAGGACAAACCAGACACCATTAGCAAGAAGCACAATATCAACTTGAATTTTTGCTGAATTCTATAAGAGCATCATAAAGTGCATTGCAATGATATGTGCTGTATATATACCTACCTGTCAGCAAGGAATCCTACCAGTTGGCTGGTTATTATAGAAAGGATGGATATTGTAAAACCCAGCCATGATGTGCTGGTGAAAAAGTCATTAAAAGAGTGAATGACAACCTTTTCATCGAAATTACCAGTACTGTTATTGAGGACAAC